GGGAAAGATGACCAAAAAAATTGTCTGCCCTTTTAAACCAGGTTTGATGCTGAAAGTGCTGAGCTCTTGAACTGGATTTCAAAATCAAAATCTGTGATTCAGGCCACAGACATCAAAGAGTACAAGAAGATGAGAGAGACTTCAAACATGAAAGAAAAGTTAAAGGTAAAACGGGGAGATAGTGTTCCAGTGAATAGTATATTTTGTCTCTAAGCTGGCTGTCAGCTGGAGGTGTGGGCTGATCCGCATGCTCTGTAGGGACTAAGTCCTTTAATTAAATAGTTTTGGAACTGGACATATACGGAAATCTGACTAGCTGGACACAAATTTTTGCTGCTGTTGGGTTGCACAGTCCACAGGAAATTTAAAAACGTATTGCAGAATTCTTTTTTGGAGTTCTAATAAATGTTTGTCTTCAGGATTAGTATCTTTTCTACTAAGCAGTAATATTTTGGTTTCATGTTTCACAGTTGGAGATGGGCTTGATTGACACCGTTTCTGTAATTTTGGCAGAGATGGACCCCTCAAATCATGCTGTGACACTTTGCACACACTGTGCGGGTCCAAAGGGGTCTGTTGTTATAACGTTTGGTCATGTTATTTGCCCTATTAATTTTTGAGAAAACCTGGGAGTTATGATTCATGTATGATATTACTGACCTGCAAGACAGAATACATAATTTTACAGGATCCTGTGGGATCCATGAAGTAGTCATTTTATCTTTTATTCCTTTTGTTTCAGGAATATATTCTATCCTTTTTTGTTCCTTGAGCATGCTTTGCCAATGAGGGCTGAGCATGCTTTGCTAATGAAGTCTTATTGGAGCTTTAGCAGGACCTGAACCTGTTTTTGAAATCAAAGACAATACTTAAAAATAAGGAGGCTCCTTCTCAGTGCTGTAGTACAAAATGGTGCCAGTAGGAATGTTTGGAATGGCAGTGCTGGTGGAAATAAAAACCAAAACAACCCTCCCAACAGTTTATTTATAGATCTTTCTGAATGTTTGTAGCCCTTTAAAATAGGCTCCAAGATGAACACTAGGTTCCCATGAACAGCACTGCTTTTAAATGATTAGGTTCTAAGTGGGTAGGACAGTGTTTGTTCTTCCCAACTCCGCAAATAAATGCATGCTGTTCTGAATTTACCGTAGTAAGTCTAAAGCAGAGTAATGACCTGGGCCATTAGTTTTGAAAACATTTTAATTTGGAGATATTTTATTGTAATCACAGAGGATATTGAAGTTGTGGCCTTGTGGCCAAGGAACTCATCTTTCCTCTGGGGATGCATTCTACCTATTGAGCCACACAGGAACATTCACCAATACTTATAATTTAAGGGGGGAACTTGTTCCTCTAAAAATCTTGGAGTTGCATAGGATGTCCCTCACCATTTGTTTATGAAGCAGAGTGAAGCACTAGTGCTAATGAGTGGATAGCTAGTGTGCTATAGTTCTTGTTATTTGGACTTGTAGAGAACAGGTTGTTCCCTTCTACTGGAAATCTCAGCAGAGGCTGCAGAGGTTAAGGGACTATTTAAAAAGGTCTTTTTTTTTCCACTGGTTCACAATAAATAATTACAATTTTTGGTCACAAGTGACTTGTTTCAGCTGGTGTCCCAATATCTGATTTCACACAGCAGGATTGTCAACCCTTTTATTCCTGGTATTGCTGTACTAGTCTCTTACTTTCCTAGTACTTCGGAGAGTTAACTCTTTTTGCATTTGTTTTCTGAACAAACAGAGCTAAGATGCATCTTAGATGGTGCTGTATCCGAGAAAACCGGAATGTGTTTTGGGTGGGAGTGGGAAAACACATGTTATAGGGGTGAGTGGGTGGGTGTCAAGAAAAATAACCCTTTCGGTACTCTTTTGGGGTTCACTTTGTAGGTGATTGAAAAAGAAAGAGTTGAAAAAAGTCAAAAATTAGATGAACTGAAACGAAGTGGACATATTCTTTTGGATCAAATGGGAAGGGGTAAGCAACTTGAAGGTTTTTCTGTTTTGTGATTTTAATGAGATGGGTTTCTGGGAAAGAATACTGAAATACGCTCTCTCCAGTTAAGCATCACAAAATATTCCTTTCCTTTACCTCCATTTTCTTTCCTTCAGAGCCACTGGTTATTGTTACTGTTGCTAGTTACTGATATGTGTTTTGTTTTTACTGAAGTTTATAGAAAAACAATATTCTTTGTTTAACGTGTGTATGTTCTTTGTAACCTTTTAAGGATTATTGAAATAATAACGTGTTTTTTTGGGGGGATGAGTGGTTTAATTCCAATTTTGTGGAGAATTTAAGTATAAAATTCTAAAATGGAACTGCCCTGAAGTGGAAATCTTGAACCCAAATTTAAGCTTGATAAATGTGCGTATATCTTTTTATTTGTAGCTTGCTTTATTTTTTGTAACAACTGTCAGTATGTTTTGATGATAATCATCACAATTTATGGCTCAAAGGCAAGAGAGAAGCCTACATGCCTAAGAAAATGATTGATTGTCAGTTAAAACACTTATCCATGGAAACTTATAATTAACATCAGTGAAAGTTGAATCTTTGAATCTCACCAAAATCTCACTTCATAATGAGACAAAACCTCATCAGTGAAATGTGATTTTCCCCATAAAAGAGCTATTCGTATCATCCAGAGACAGTCTTTTAGATCTGCTATGTACTTGGCTTCTGGTGAAATTGCTATGACTTGGTAGCATTCAGACAAGTGAGAGGATGGTATCACTGCCCTGCATATTGACCAGCATCCCTTTTGGAAAATACTGATTTCCATTGGCTTTCCCAACTGTCACATGTTTTCCAGCCAGTCTTTTTGCCTGGATGCCCCAATCTGCTAAGCATCTCCAGTCCTCCCCTCCTTCCTACTACAGTTGAAGCTTTTTACACTGGGCGCTGTTGCCTTGAAGCTCATTGCTGGAAGCCACTGATTTAACCTGGAGATTCGGTTGTAAAAATTAGTAGCTGTTCCTTGTCTTCAACCCTGGACAGAAATGCTCCCTCCTTCTCTTTTATAAACCTGTTCAGCTGTAATAAGTAGGTCATGCCTACGAAACCAGTATCTGTTGATCATAATGAGAAATGCATAGTTCAAAAAGTGCTTTGTATCAGGAAAAGAATAACATACAGAAATTGCTTCCTAATTATTTGCCATTGTAAAGGTTGGGATCTATACAAAATAATCCACAGCGCCTGGCTTTGTTCAGGTCTGCTAGTATGTTTTGTCCAGCTCAGAATGACAGCCCTTTTCTCCAAATCCAGGCCAAGCTATGCCTGTGTGGAATAATGCACAGCACTGGCATTCATTTCTGTCTTGGAACGTATACAAGGCCATGCCATAATGGCAGTGACCGATCGTTGCATGCGTGCTCCTCTTACGTGGCTGGTTGCAGCTGCTGTGCTTCTGTATTATAGACGTGCCACGTGTATGGCCAGTGTTAAGCACAGGGAGGATCTATGGAGCAGAGCCTTCAAGTTCCCTGTTCCAGCTTCTGCTGGCTGGCTGCCTTGACCAGAGTGCTGGGCTCCTCTTATGCTCTGCTTAAGCAGCGCAGCAAAAAACCCTCCATGTGACTCTCCTCCTTATATGCTATCTAAATGACAGAACTACTAAGTTCAAATGGCCCGAATATGCCTTATACAAAGATGGTAGTACCTTGAAAGAGAATCTGCATCAGAAACTTGCAATGACAAGCATGTACATTGCAATGAAATTTCTTCATATGTAGCAGAATTGTCAGTTACTTCTGGCACTTGAGGAAATAAGAGGAGGAGGAGTGGCTGAGGAGGTCTGTTCAATTCTGCTGCTGCTGCATCCTCAAGTAATGCATTGATTTGTCAAAAGAATGGGGTAGAAAGTGTTTCATGTAGTCACTGTAAGTAGGAAATAACCTCATGTTTCTTTGTGTTGCTTTTTTGATGTTCGTATTAATCAAGTCTACTTTTCTCCCTCTCTCTCAAGCTGACAGGATTTCCGTCTACCTTTTCAATGCATTTATCACTTCCTTCCATCTTGCTGCTTCACTTTTTCTTTGTGGAGTCTATAATCATTTAAACCAAAAATTAATTCACTGGAAGCTTCCTTAAAGCTAATTTTACATAATTCTACATTATCAGCATTTAGGCAAAAATCATGATGGTCAAGAGTCAGCTCATTATAAATTCAGGAGTTATCAAAGAGAAAGAATGGAAGTGGAGTATTGTACTCTTTATTTTACTATTAATGTGAAAATGTAAGCTAAAACACAGTAATAAATACAGTTTTATGGATAATGTACTTGGAATCAAAGCATTTTTGCATATTAATACAAGCGTGCACCTGTATTTGAAGAGAAGGAAGATTAAATGCCTGTTAATCAAAATGTGTTTTGGTTAATATAACAATAACTCGTATAATCTTTTTAGAAGGTCTTTCTACAGTGGATATAAAAACTGTTATGGAGAAAATATTGTCAGGCTGGAAAGATGTGGTTCAACATTTGGAAGAAGTGGCCAGAAAGATAAAGTACCAGGAAGATATAAATGCATATTTTAAGGAAATGAGTGATCTTGAGAAGACTGTAATTGAGAAGGATGGCTTGCTTAAAAATTACACTTCTTCAGCTTCCCAGCCCTCAGCAGTCCTGAAAGACTTATGTCAGGTAAGTCTGGTGAAACCTGTTAATTTTTATCTGAAGCTGTTAGGAGCACAGAATGCCCCAGAGGAGCTTAGCCTAGTCAGTAAGGTAACTAAAAATTTGAGGCCTCCAGGGCACCAGATCTGAGTGGAAGATTTTGGTACCTGTGTAACAGGAGTATTTTAACGTTGTTGCCCTAGTAATGTGGAGGAGCTGTACTGCAGTAGCTTACTAAAATCTTTATGTTAACAAGGCAAGTGTGAGATTTGATTTTTTGTCCTCAATCTTTCACAGCGGGACTTGACTCATCTTGCAAGCCTGAGTCTGCGATTGGAACACCTGAAAGCCACCTGCAAGACACTCACCACTCAGCCCATGCCTCCAAACTTCATTCAGGAGAGCTTGAATTGCTTTCTTGATCACTTCAAGTTGACTCGTCAGAAACTAGAGGAACGTCACCAGCAGCTGAAGAAAGGTAATATATATATGTGTGTGTGTGTGTGTGTGTGTATATGTGTGTATATATATACACACACACATGTATATTTTGAACTGATGGAAAGCTCACTGAATTCTAGTGGAGTTTTACTACTGATTCTGGGAAGCTTTGGGTTAGGCTGACAAAATCTTTTTGTTCCCCTGGAAGAATATTCGTATGACCTCCTCCTTTGTGCACGCTACAAAACATATCATTCCGTGGTATTAGAAGTGATTACGCAAGGATGCAACATTCCTGAACCTACATTTAAGGAATTGGCAAAACGTATTTAATGTGGATAATTTATTCTGAAAAGCTGTGCATCTCCGGCACATACAGAAATAAATAATAATACTAGAAATAAAAAGTTGGAAGATTAGTAGAACCTTGTAAAATTGAAGTGCGCATGTAAAATTTATTCTTTTTCATAGATGCTTTGAGCACATTAGTCATACATAATTCCTTTTGGAAATTTCATCTTTGAAGTGATTTGGAATCTGGCTTGCTTTTCAGGCACTTTCTGCTTGGGTTTTTGTTGTGTTAAAAATTTCATTATGAGCATTCAAACCAGTCATGCTGGCTTCTAAAGGATTTTAAATGTACTGCACAAAATATGTACCTCTGTTAATATTTCATAGCTGAACAGCAAGACCATAGATCTGTAAGGATATTTTTGCCTTAGTTCTCATTTTGTTTCTGAGGATTTGAAGGAAGTGTTTTGCTAACAGCCCTAAATGGAAGAGCATTAATACTTCATTCTGTGTGTAATAAAAATAGGCTCATTTACTGAGTTGTTACGCCATCCATATAATGTGATGCACCAGGCCTGCATACTTCGATTATATCCATGCAGAAAACTGTATGAATAACGTATCTGTCTGCCATGCTCAAATTATAGGGTATACTTTCATTCTTACTGTGAGGAATGATTATTTTATGACTGTTCTGAGTTCATGTACTTTTGAATAATTTTATTGCTATTGTCTATTCTGGTAATTATTACATGATGTGACAAAATACTCCTTATTTTTTCATGCCATACATCACTTGAGGCATTACTAGCATGTTTGAACTAGTCATTACTTTGTAGAAACACCTTGCATAGTGTTATATGTTAAATTTGTATTCGTGTGGGTTTTTTGAATGATCATTTCTCTGCAGATTGGGTATTGCTAAACAACAGAGGGAAATTTTATTTCAGGGTTTAAGTTGTTTATTTACAGCACAGTTTGAATTGCTGTAAGGTAAAAGAAATTCCCGAGCCATGTAATTGGGAGAAACAACTGGTGGTGTCACTTGAACATTTGTAAACCTGACAGGCTTTGACTGACAGAAGTCTGTCTCTTTTCATGGCTCTTCTATGAGCCTCTGAAAATGCCCTCATGGAGTGCTATTCAGTCCCATCTCTACCAGCAGCTTTATGGGAATTGTGACTTTTTTTTTT